ACCCCCCCCGGCTCGATAATTGTGTGTCGATCCGAACTCGAACTCGAACTCGAACCGGTCCACTCTCCCCCGGCTCGATAATTGTGTGTCGATCCGAACTCGAACTCGAACTCGAACCGGTCCACCCCCGCCCGGCTCGATAATTGTGTGTCGATCCGAACTCGAACCGGTCCACACCCCCCGCGGCTCGATAATTGTGTGTCGATCCGAACTCGATCTCGAACTCGAACTGGTCCACCCCCCTCTCGCTCGATCCACGCAATCTCGCGCATCGAACTCGAACTTGAACTCGAACTCGAACGGGATCAGTTAGAACTACATGGGGCACGGCCTGCAAAAACTCACACGTCAAAGTCTGCAAAACGAGCATTTCGTACAAGACTTCCTCCAAAAGTCAAGCGGAAACACCCATCGGAGCACACACATCCGCAGCCCTGCCAAGCAGTTTCGCGATTCCAGCCCCTCCAACAACATCCGCTCACACGCCAATCCCAATGTGACAGCGACACTCACCTCTACCACAACTCACAACCTCACGATTCCCGGCGCCTGCCACGAGAATCGCACTTCCACGCCTCAAAACCCGCACGAAGTCCTGCGCCTGCCACGAAAAGTGCCAATATCATCTCATGTGAGCTTCAACAAAATTTGCACCACACCACACGTTTGGAATGATTTCGACCCATTCTGAGCACACTCCCATCCACCAAAATCGCCATTTCAGCTGAGACTTGTCACGAAAACCGAGCTTCCATGCCACACCCTGAAACGCAAATCCCAATGGCACGGCCACACGACTCTCCAAACGCTAATCCCAATGGAACTGCGCAGCAATCTGCGGATCTCACAAAACGCTGCGCCTGTGCAGCGAAATGCATCACGTTTCTTGCGCGACATATCATTGTCATGCAAATCACAATGGAATAGCGGCGCAAACTGACACGTGACACATCCATGCAAAGTCACTTGCAAAAACTTCCCCCAATGGCAGCGAGTTTGAGACGCGACGACGACGACAAACGACGACAGACGACGAGACGACGCAAGCCAAGCAAGCACAGCTCCAACCCCCAGACCCCCAACTATAAACGGGAACCCTTCGCTACGCATTCGGGAAAAACATATGAAAAAGGTCCGTGGGACTGAGACAAAAAAGAACCGACGACCCCATCGGGCAACCGGCGGCGACCGGGGGATGCTTCCAAGGCTTAGAAGTGCGATGTAGCGACCCCGTGCTCAACGCGCAACTCTACAGCAACCGCGCGCATGTGCGGTTGCTGCTGCGGCAGTTTGTGGAAGCTGAAGCTTGGCAGAGAAGGTAGGAGAGTGACAGGCCATATGGCAGGCGAATTGAAAATAGTTGGATGTGTAGTTCGAGCACTTGGACTTGACCATGTGTTGGCAGAGATGTGGTAGAGATGTGACAGACCGGCCCCTCATGGATTCTGGCCCTAGCAGTGCCCCAGAGAAGCTTTAAACCAATATCTCCAAGCTGCTTGAGGTGGACGACTGCCGCAAGGCCATTGAAAGAGATCCAAAGAACATCAAGGCATCTGAAAACTGCCAGTTTCAGTGACAAGTTGTGAATTCACGAAGCATTTTCTCCACTGCTGCGAACTACGTACGATGTATGAAGCTTGTGCCTTTCACACAGGTTCAAGATTCGATCCCAGCCATCGATGCGGAATGGAAACTAAACCGAACCTGTTGGGTGGTCATCCAAACCCTCAGTGAAGACTACGTGCTCACAGGGGCCTTTCATGTTCGGGCCATTCCAAGCTTAACGAGAAGACCGGCATTTTTCGATCTCAGATCTTAGACATTAGAATTTAGAATGTCAATATGATTAGTTGATGAATGACAACCTCCCCATTTGGAGTGTAAAGCCTGCCCAATCCTGGGAGGCTTCACTTAATCAACCGCCACAAAGGGCCATAGAGTGGCACAGTCACAGCCTGCGAGGCGTACTGGCGGGCAGCCAGGGCCTCGCTGCAGTTGGACCTTTGCCGGAATGGCATCGACTTCTGCGAAGCTGGCTTAGAACAAGCGCTCGGGAGCTCAAGAAGCTCAGGGGGAGCTCATGGGAGCGTCGTAGTGATTGTTCGAACGGTTGGCTGGGGGCGGGGATGGTGAGAGCCTTTGGCAAAGGCTTTAGCTACAGCTTGGAGAACAATCTCACTTGCCCAGGCCCGGCGATGCTGATTTGCAGAAGCTACGAGCAGCTTGTGCTGAGAAGTTGGCAGGTCAGCAGCAGAGGCGAGTAGGCCAACGAGCCCGGTGGGAGGGAACTGACACAGCCGTCCACGAGGCTAACGTTGGCCGTCACTCACAAGGCACACAACATTTTGCGCAGTAAGCCCAAGATGATCCGACAAAGACATGATCCGATAAAGATGGATTGAGCATTGAGGTCATTCTGAATACCTTACGCATCCTGACGCTAAAGATTAAGCCCCGGCAGTTCTTTTCGGGGGCCCACGCACCTCCACTTCCTCATCATCATTGGGCGACCTGCACCGGGCAGGCGGAGGGCACAAGAGGCTGCAGCCAACAGAGACTTCAACGCCGATGAGGCCATGGCGGTGCAAGACAAGGCATGCGGCATGCGGCGGCGGTGAAGCGACGAGACGACCCAAACGTCGATGCCATTGTTGTCCAACGTTGCTGGGACATTCCGTTTTGAATGATGGCTAGTGTCTACAGACATCTGAAGGAAAGTGTTGACAAACACTGCGTGAAGGAGGGTTCAAGTAGGCCATTTGCGTCAAGTTTGCGTCAGGAAACTTTGCCAGCCTGCGGCCAGTTTCTTCTTTTGTTTCTTCTTTCTGCTATTGCTTTCGTCTTTTTTGCATTTTTTTGCATCATCATCATCATCATCATCATCATCATTTTTCTTCTTCTTCTTCTTCTTCATATTCTTCTTCCTGCTTCTTCTTTTTGTCTTTTGTCTTTCTGCTTCTTGTTCTTTCTTTTATTCCTGCTTCCGCCTTTTGTTCTTGTTTGCTGCTTGTTGTTTATGCTTCTTCTTTTGTCTGCTTCTCCATGGGGCTGAGTGGTGTTCGAAGTGCTCGTACCAAAGCATGGGGCAGTCTGAGGGTCCCTATCAGAAGGAAATGTACCCCAGCCAAAGCAAGTCATGCGCCCAGGTAACCGGACTGAATGAGCAACTCTCCAGATTGAAGGCAGGATGGTTCGAAGTCGTAATCACAACAGCAGGAAAGCATGCTTCTTGATGCACACAACCCTTGTGGCAGTCGACGCTGAGCAGCAAACAACGGCAGCGAGTGCGTTTAGAGCTGACTCAGCAGCCGCTTGGATGAAACAGACAAGGCAAGCAGGCAACTGTGGGGACACTTACATGCTTCCAGTGGTCTTTGAGTCTTTGAGAGTCCCTGGCCAAGTCTCTACTCTGCTGTGTTTGTCAGGACAATCGAGTCCACTCCAGAAGATGCCAAACTCTACAGAGGCATTGGCCGCTGCTTTCTGTTGGGGGAGCGGCAGGAGATGCTGGACACTGGGCAGAAGGTCACAAACTTCCGACACAATCAGATATGGCTCATTTGTTGGTAGAGATTCATTGGACAAGCAAGCTCTTGAGTTGGGCTTTCTGGCTGAGGATGAGATGAAAGGCACAATGAACAACATCGATGAGGAGAGGGCACCTCGTGGAACAAGCCTTCGCTCCCTCTCTCCATCCCTCTATGACTCTAAAATATGCACCTTCACACAGTGGTGCAAGCGAGCGAGTTTATGTGTGGTACCTCTCATTGTGGCAAGCCCAGCCCTGCAAGCATTAGTCCGGGCAGGCATAGCTGGGACAGGCATAGCTGGTTCGATTTGTGGGCCAGGAGCTGCCAAAGATGCAGAAAGCCAGCCAAGAGCTGGAGAAGCGCAAAGACGACGCAGAGAAGGTGATGGCCTCCAACCTACTAGCGACATTTTGGCGGATGTGATGTTTTGGCTAGCGTGATGGCAAGCCCACAACAAATACCACGCTGCTTGTGCGCATTTGCACACATGACGGAAATGGTTAAACTCAGTGTTGTTCCCCTTTTCATGTGTTTCTTTTCTACGTGTTTGGCCTTTGGCGCTTTTTGAAGTACAAATCGGGTTTCTGTCGGCATGCTTGGCCGGATCTGTCTCTTTAGTTTAATATATATATATATTTGTTCTAGTTCTTTCCATGCTTTGGAGACTTTCACTGTAAGCACTTAAAGGAGAGTGTCTCTGCACAGCTCGGCTCTTTGACATGTCATTCTTTCTGAGCTTTCGTAACGAGGGAGTTGGCCAGGGACTGCCACTGATCATTTCTGTTGAACCTGTACTGAAGGAAGCAGGGACTCACATGGATTAACGGTGATTAACGTCTTTGGGGGCATCCTTCAGTGCAAGGCTTGACCCCACAAGTAATCCAGCTGGTGGGTGTCTATCTTCAAAAGGCTTTGGCCTTTGGCTGGTTTCCATCTTGCAGTGCTGTGCTGCCTTGTGCTTCGTAGCAGCCACAACGAACGTCAGCAAACTACCTGTGAAGGCCTCAAAGAACCTTCCATCACAACGTCGACCACACAAAGCAAGGAACGCGTGCAGCCGCGGGGCAAGCCAACCCATAAACCAACCATGCTCTTGGCCCAAAAAACTGCGCGCCCACACACACACACACATGGGCTTTGTGACACACGCTAGCCGAAAGCACACAACAACATAACATGAACTGACCCAAGGTTTGTCTTCTCCAGGGTGTGGGCAGATATTTAGGGCCTTGTGGCCTTGTGCTCCTTTGATTTGTTCTTTAAACATGCCCGGGTTCTGCAACCTGACTTATTACTTCTTAGAACATGGAGCACCCCACAGACCTCCGACTGTGAGAACGCAACTGGAAAACCTACAGATCAAGAATCTCTAAACCTTGGTCCGTGGCAGCTGCGCTTGGGGCAGGAGCTTCGGGAGATGATTGCAGCCTTCCGGCAGCAGGCAGACCGCTCGGCTGCCACGGCTGCCTGAGGCGGGAGATTGCTGGGAGAACAGATGGAAGAAGAGACATGTGACATGGACTCAATGGACTCAGGCAGAGAATGATGAGAATGCGTAGCAGCTGTTCTAACAGCAAATATCTGGAAAGTGAAGGTAGTGTCAAGAACAGTGTCATACTGAGTCATACTGGAATCTTGGCTGACACCCTTTGAGCGGATCAGGTAGGCGTGGCGGTCTTCAACTCTTTATGCTTATACACTCTTATACACATATGTTTTTAATCCGGAGCCTGGAGAGCTTGGCGCCTTAGGCCAAGAGAGATGCCAAGAGCATTTCGCCAATCCAGATGTGCCTACAATTTGCACTTGAATAATCCCTTCCACCGATTAAAAGACACGCCCCCCTATTAACAAAAATTGTGTGCTTGTCTATTTTTAAATAGGGGATCCTGAAGTCGGGGTTGTCCAAAATATATAGTCCAAAATAGGGTCAGTGGGAATCATTGATTAACCACACAGTAACTCAGCTTTTAAGTTATAAAATCCTTTATTACTCTCGTATCAAAAACTGAAAAACAAGTTTATGAACATAGTGCTGCTTCATTAGACTGACAACTAAAGCTCGAAAGGTGAGTCCGTGCCCAAAAGGAACTCTTGCTGGTGTAAACGTGGCGTGTCATGGTGGATAGAGAGGGTGGACAGAGGTACCCAAAAAAAAGTACACAAACATCGGCCATTTTGGTTTTTTAGTAGCGCTTTTTACGGGCGGCTATTAAAACACAAATATAATCCGTATTTAGGGGTTTCCGACATGGTGTTTTTGCTTTTTCTTTGTGTAAATAGGGGAGTGTCTTTAAATGGGTGCTCGGGATTATAAACCGCACAGAGTAAAAGAGCAAGCACGCGGAACTATCAACATTGCTTTAACATATGCGGGGTTCGAAGCGCAAGAAGGGTTCAGAATTCATGCTGGCCACGCTTCTGTGATTTTGGCCAGGCTGGACGTACTGCCTTTGAGCCAGTTTCATCACCTGAAGTCACGCCCGTAGCATCGCATTTTGGTGAGACCTTGCGGCCAAAAAGAGAGCTGACACCTGAAACGGTCCAACGAATTATATATGAATATCATCCTAGTCTCATTAAGCTTCCCTACCAATCTAAGAACCAAAACATTAGTGCGTGAGCTATCCTGCGTCCATACTAGTAAGGGTAAGTAGCTAGTACTAAGTAGGAGCCTACTTAATTAAGTAAGGAGGCAGATCCATGACGGGCTAAAGACAAACACAGCAAGCCAGAGATATTGCAGGATGGATTGCTGGATGAGAAGGATTTGAAAAAGTGACCTGGTTGCATTCGTCCACGTCCTGCCTCTCCGATCGGGCTGGGGAGCCTGGTTGGCTGTTCCCAAGGGAAACGCGCCAAGGTATGCCTTGAGCGAGTTCAAGTTCACCCTGCCAGAACCTGCAGTGGCACACCAAGCCGGCAAAACCTGTGAGCTACATGTGTTTTGATGGATTTCTGACGGTGTTCAGACGAAAGTCGAACATACAAGGTAAAGAAGATCTTCAAGCCAGCTTCCCAGCACTGTCATGCTGACTGCCTGACGTACGATGCACATTTCTGCAGCAGTCATCAGTCTTGGCTCGTTTGTTGAAACAGCACTTGACTTTGGAGAAGCATAAGAAATCATTTATGGGCTTGCAGCAGGGTGGCATTTCATGTTGTTCTTGCGGATTTTCGCGTCTCAAGCCAGGCTGCTGGTGACACCAGGCACCAAAGGCATCAGCAAGGACAACTTTCAGCGTGCGAAGGCTTTGACTTTGGAGTCGGGAATGGGCAGTCTCTTGCGACTTCTGAATTCATCTGCCACTAACTTGACCAAGCGCAGTTCATCTGAATCTGAAGACTACCTGCGCAAGGTTCAAATCGGCATTGTGAGGGAGTACCAGATAGACTTGGAGCGAAAGAAGAGACGAGAAGAGCGGGAGAAGGAGTTGGAAGTGATGAAGGCAGCTGGTGATGAGTTACGCACCGCTTGGGGAAATCCTATCACAAAGAGCCCTGATAGAACCAGGTGCATGTACGCAAAGACACTTCTTTGTCCATGCCTGACAGGAAAAGCTCAAAGGTCAGATTGAGGACGGTGTACTTTGAATCACGATGCTGCACTAGTATGTGGCCTTTTGCCGCTTGCTTTGATTCTTGCATCTTGCACTGGCGAGGAGGAAGTCGCCCCACCTCTTGCCAAGATTGAAGAGTCATGCTCCAAACTCAAGGTGCGGTGTCGAAGCTCTGTGATTCTGGAGGACCTCCATGCTGCAATGCAAAGCCTCCAACAAAAGAGCCTCAAAACCCAAACGCGAGGTTCGCAGGTCGCAGGCATACCAACACAACTTTATAATGCTTTAGGATATCGCTCAAGCCCAATGCGGCTTCTCTGCGACGGCAGCAACGTACTGCAGAGTTTTAAGGGGGACGAAAGCTACATTTGGGGGTTTGAGTGTGACACTTGCAAAGAAACAGGCTTCCGCCTTATTGGCTCGAAACATGCACGTGCTATCGACCATGAGTGAATATGGCGGTTCAGACGAAAGCTATTCAGAGACAAGAGCTCTCTTTGGTCGCGGTGCCGCCAACACCGATTTCGTCGCAGAAGCCGAAAGCTGCCCCACCTTCCCTCCCCACCCCCTTAGCGGTGCAATGCGCCACAGCCAAGGCTGCAGCAGTGCCCAAAGGCAACAACCCACCAGGTGCAACAAAAACTGCTGTGTTGCGTTTCCTGATGTTTCCCGTGTTAATACTCCGTCAGGCTCGTCAGGTGCTACAATGATCGATCGTTCGGCCTTTCCGGAAAAGTTTTGGAAAGCATTGTTGCGGTTAGCGAGACAAAGTGCAAAACCATATGTTTGCTTCCTTGAGGTGAGGGCTTTGCTTGTGGAGAATTATTTGGTGAACCGGCTGTCTCCCATTACAAGCTCCACTTCAATCGCCGCTGGGGCACATGGAAAGAGAAGTCCGTCGGGGTTGTGGCCATCATGTGGGCAGACATGCGCGTGAGGATGGAAGACATGCAGCTTGCCAAGTTGATGAAGGAGATCTTCGGGTACCGGATCGCGTTTTGAAGCTCGTTCGATGGCCCTAGTCCCCCCCTTGACATCGGGTGTCCGAGGTTTTCGTACGTCGTACGTGCGCAGGCGATCAAGGAGCGTTTGTGCGAGGCCTTGGGCGAGGAGGCCGTGGTGGCGATCGTGGACGACCAGGTCGGTGAGTTGGACCGGATCTTTGTTTGTTTGTTGGCCCGGGCGGAGGACTGCATCGAAGTCCGCAAGGCGTGGAAGCCGATGACCTTTGGAAAGGCGACGGCCACCTGGAGAGATACTATTGATACTGGGTCAAGTCATATGACTCCGAGACTCAAGGCTTGCTGGAACCCAGATGGGCTGGCGATCGATGGAATGAGCATTGAGTTTCCAGCTCGTTGGGCCCTGAAAGATGTGGGTCCTGTAGGAAAGGCTGCCAGATGTCAAGAGGGTTCTCATTGGTACAACTTTGCCTCTCTCTTCGGAACCGTGCTGGAGGCATACATAGTGGTAGCCGCACGTGCTGAGACTGTCAACCTAGTGGTTCATTATTCGTCCAACCGCGGGCCGTATTCTGCCTACAAGGCGTTGTCGGGGAGATGCTTGTACAATCCAATGACGACCGCCGATTCCCAAAACTCCAAAGCTAAAGACTTGTCAGTGCTGCGCGCCACCTATGGAACCTATGCTAGCCTGCTGTCCAAAGCGACGCGGGGTGTACTGTCCTCCATGACACTTCAATGGACGGGTAAGGCAATACCCTTGCCCCAAGGTACAGAAACCGAGGGGCCCATCTTCGAGCTGTATCCCTTGGGAGGGGCCATCGTGACGTCGAATGAAGTCTTCCGAATGGCACCTTGGGGCCCGCAAGAGGTGAAGATCGGCAAGACTCGCAAATGTCATCTCTTCATGTCCGATGAAACCGCCGGCGTCTCCAACATCCATGCGGAGCTCACGCTCTTGGCGCCGGTGAAAGGCTCCGCGCGCCAAGCCCGGCTCTTTGTGTGCGATCTATCCAAAAACGGCACCTGGGTGAACGAGCAGCGCATTCCAAAAGGCCAACTACTGGAACTCCGCGATGGCGACGTTTTACGCCTTGCTGAGGTGCCACGCTACGTGTCTTGGCGGGCTTGGGGTTGAACTGGAAGGAACAACATTTGGTGTGGAATGGGCCTAGTGTGCTAGGTCGCTAGGTTAGAGCACTTTTGAGAAGTTTGATGCATTGGGCCATGTCAATGAGATCTATTATGCAATTCTTGCGACCGCTGCAGGCTGTGCGGCGCTTCGAGTCACTGCGGCAGTGCCAAAGTGCACAACCTGCGAACAAGTCAGACCCGGAGTTTTATGTGATTCTTGGCCAAGTCTTTTTGAGCTGGTTAAGTCAGAAAACTATGAATGTTTCCGGATTAGCCCGCTTTAAATGGTGGTAGATAAGTCGAATCTATGTATTGCAGCGACCCTGTTGCATGATGGTGTTGGCTGTGCGTGCAACACCACGGGGCCAAACACAAGATCACAAAGGCTCATCAGCCACTTTTTGGATCTCTGAGGCCTCCCTGCCCGTATTTTATCCGCGAGGTTAACACCAAGGCACCTTTCTCAGAGGTGCCACGAGTACCAGATGAGGACTGTCTTCCAGGTCTTTGCAGGTTGAGTTCCTTTGCTCCTCGAGCTCGGGAAGTTCTTTTTTTTCAAGATATTTTTGTTTTACAACTGGGGTGGGGTAGCATGAAGGGGAGGACAATGAACCACCAACAACTGTTTTGTGTTGGCCGCCTCCAAGAATGAGTTGGAAGTTGCCACAACCCTGCTAGGAGGATGGCTCCGGTGCAGACATGCCTGATCGCAAGCGGCAGCGAACCTGAAAAAGCAGCCGCAAAGAACGCGCGCTTGAGCCCAGAATGACTCCCATACCTCAGGCAATCATAGTAGGACCTCCCGCGAAGACAGTGTAACAAGCAGATCATTGCTGATTTTCTCTCTTGGGCCAGGAAGATGCCGAGAAGCTGAAAACGCCCACGATGAAGTCAGCCGAGCTGCACCCTCGATGAAAGGGAGGGAGTGGTTGGTTTGCAAGGTCTGGGATACTTCAACTTTGTCGGCGATAGGTAGATTATATAGATAGATCGATCGATCGATAGATCGATCGATCGATCGATAGACTAGATAGATCGATCGATAGATAGATCGATAGATAGATGGATCAATCGATAGATAGATAGATCGATAGATAGATAGATCGATCGATAGATAGATGGATCGAACGATAGATAGATAGATCGATAGATAGATTGATCGATCGATCGATAGATACATCGATCGATCGATCGATCGATCGATAGATAGATAGATAGATCGACCGATAGATAGATCGTTTGATAGATAGATAGATACATAGATAGATATTTTGTATATGCATTCATACGGATGGGGAGATTCGGTTAGATTAGATTGCGGGTGGAGGATTGATTGGGTTCTGCGTGGTGAGCATGGCCTGGCCATGTCCTAACTTGCACCAGAAGCAGAGGCCATGAAATCTTAAGCTTGATGGAATGGACTGAATGAGCGACTTCTTGTAGCAGGAACGGCAAGACACCAGAACCCCTCGAATCCACTCCACATGGTTTTGACGGTGTTAGTTGGCGTCCAAGGATCACTAAGCTGGATGAGCTCATGAGCCAGGCGGCTGAATACAGAGAGAAGATCGCGGAATTGCTGAAGAGTATCAAGTCCTTGAAGGCCCAGCTTGATGCTTTGGGCATGTTTGGACTGAGTGCTGAGCATGACGTTATCAATCTTGAGAACGCGCGGCGAGTCTTTTCTCCAAGTAGGCAACCCCAGGTCGGCCCTGGATTGGTTCGCGGGGGGCCAGGAATCGGAGAAGGAAGTCATCCACTGGCTCAACGGCCAACTGAAGCCCTCAGAGCAGAAGTTGAAGCAGATGGACGCCAGCGCTGCCAAGATCAGCAACTCGGCTCACAAAACTGACTGGGTCAAAGCAAGCTCTGAACCCCCCTGCGATTATCTTGACCTTAGGATACCTTAGGACCTTAGGATTGGCATAGTTCTCACTACGATGCAGTGTCAATCACCAAATTTGTTTCTGAGACTCTCGGGTCTATTAAGCAGGATGATGTAGCTTCGACAGCTGACGTAGCTTCGACCCAAGGTCAGGCAGCCAAAGGACAGCGGGCAGAAGCGGACCAGAAGCAGAAGCAGGAACTCCAAGAGCTGCAGAGGTGCAACATGCGATGGGCGTCGTGGTCGGTCGTCGCCCAAGGTTTTTGAGCACTTCTGAAAAAGATGGATCTGGGTGAAAACTGGACCATAAGTCACCCCCCACCAACATGAACGGATCTGAGTGGTTTCCACTGACCGGTTGGAATGAAACAGAACGTGCCTTCTGAAGAAGATCCATCACCGTTTACTTGACATCCTGAATAGAATGGACGACTGTGCTACCAAGATGAGGGGAATCCTGTTGCTTTCCAGCTATAGCGTGCACTACCTGCAGGCGAGCCTTGAAGATCATCGAGGAGTATCAGAAGGCGGGCCGCGCGGCTGTAAGTTTCCACATCGCTTGTTTGCAATAGGGATGGCCGTGCACTGGGAACACAATATATAGCTGGGTCTGGGAAGTGCGAACACATGTCTTGAAATGCCACAGGATTTGTTGGGTGATCATGCGACACCTTGGCGCGCGGCTTCTTGCTCGACCTCCGCGACATTTCGGTTCAGGCTTTGAAGGCCTTTGCTAGGACGCCTTCCCTTTTGACCCGACCTCACTCCAGGCCTTCAACATCACGCCACGACATCACCTCACAATGATTGATCCCCCTGGGCTGTTGAAATTCGGTGAGGTTGTTACCCCTCACACCCACCATAGCTGCCCCGGTTCCGGTTATTTATATGCTGGCAGGTGAGACACGTCCTGACGAGACAACTTTTTTCCAGATCTCAGCTTTTTGATTGATGTTGTGGGACACCTTAGGTCATTTCTGATCATTTTTACAAAAGACTATTATATAAATCATTATTTGCATACATGTGTTCATTGGACCGGACTTCACTATATGCTCCAACCGAGGCTGCTTTTGTTTTCGACCTTGCTACGGTCACGTCTTGGGCTGCACCAGCCCCACATAGGTAGTAGCTTCTTGCTGCTAGTAACAAGGGCATTACTACAAGTAACTAGTAGGAAGCTACTAGCAAGGTGCCTTACTAGTAGTAGCTTGGCAATCAGGGCAATGTGCTTCTTTTCACTTTTGCCCAGGGTCATGACTCTGTCGCTCCGGCGTGTGGTGGCTTTGGCCATTGTTGCGCTGGGCTGCTTGGCTGAAGATCTGTGGAGCGTGAAGATAGGCAAATTGATTGCTTCAACATGGTGCTCTTTAGCTTGTCAGTGGCGCAGAATCAGCAAGTCCGTGCTCGCTCGGATTCTTCACGAGCTAGTGTTGATCTTCATCCCACTGATTTAGCATATTCGCCTTGAGATTAACCAGTCGCAGTTGGCTTTCTAATGTTCTGATGCACCTGCCAAGGTGTCTCGAGCCTCTCAGCAGCCATCAGCTTCGTAGCGATGGGTGGGAGAAGGACATCAAAGTCGCGAATGTACCTCGTTTGGAGCACCCAAGGAACCGCTGCAATCATGGGGGTGCAGACCAGAGGGCAGGGCCGGCAGGGTAGCAATTGGAGCTGGGCCACAGGAGCCGAACACAAGTCAAATGCAAATAAAATCTTCACAAAACCTGCCCAGCTGAGCCAGCTGCATGACCAGTTTGAGCCACATGCAAGGGGATTTGCTCCGGGGAGCATGGATGCTGAGGCAGATGCAGGCCACGCGAAATAATGACAAGAGATCCTTGGATGCACAAGGTTAGTTGAGCACTGGAGCACTTATGATCTACTGGACTGACTAACTCTGAGGTGACAACTTCATTGACAAAGCATTCACAGTTATGAGCCTTGGCAAAAGAATGGCTCAAGCTTTCTTGATGCAGTTGATTGCAAGGTAGTGAGTTGCTTTGATCCCATTCGTTATTGGCGGTTTGCATTCATTTCAGGACAGACATGGTGGTGGCTGCCATACCATTGGCTCAGCAGGAAAAGGATGCCTACCAGTTCTATCGTGACCAGACTCAAAAATAGACTATCGTATATACCAAAAATACATATTTTATCGATACTTAAAGAGGTCGGACTTTCCACAGCCCATTGACGACCAACTGGGCAGGTGACGGAATGCAGGCACAGGTGGCCGGCGACTACTCTGCCGCCCTGCGCGCCTATGCTGAATCTTTGAAGTTGGAGGAGGACCCGCTCCTCGACTTGACCAAATCAGATGATGCGAGTTTTCACGAAATGCTGATCACTGAGCATGAGAGTTGGCGCCAAATTGCTAAGGATTGACCGAAGCTACATCTTCTACAACCTTGGCATCATTTTTGGTTCCAACGGAGAGTATGTCAAGGCGCTAGTGGTGGGATATTTTTCTTGGAGGTACCCTCCTTTAGGGGTGGACATGTGCTGTGTTGCCAGTACGTAAGAGGCTGTGAAGTATTATCATTTGGCCTTGGATCAGAACAAGGAGCTTTGCCAGGCTGGGTTAGCAGGGCCTGCCGACCGTTTTAACGTGCTTTCGTGCTCGGAGAGGGCAGTTTTTGGTGTGTCCGGACAGGCTTACAACAACATCGCAGTGGCCTGGCGGCAGAGTGAGCAGACAAGGATTGAAATATTTGAGAGTGTATATGATCGAGAAGTTGTTTGGGTGATTTGGGAGCATGCCTTCCCTGACTTAGGAAGTGAATGGAAGGAATTGGAGTCTAGAGTCTAGAGGAAGTTTGCTCCCACTTGCACTTAGGTGATTTATCACGACCAGGCCATGCGAGCCGAGAAGAAGGGTGCGCTGGACAAGTCCACGGTCCTATACGACACTTTCACGCTTAAAGCTTCGTGATTTGTGAGCACAAGCAGTTGTGCTATTTGTATCTATTTGTGTGTTTGGGCAAGGTTGCAAGAGACCCTCAGACTGACTTCAAAGTCCTGATGTCCTTGAAACCTGCTTTTAGGTTAGCTTGCTTGATCACAAGCTGAGGACAAGGCCTCTGAATATTGGAATCAGGCTATTCGCATCTTGGCTTAAGACCCAGGCCCTCATTCCTCCCCCTCGCCCTCTCCCTCTCCCTCTCTCTCTCTCCCTCTCCCTCCCTCCTCTCGTTTGGAGTGTGACCGCAAGCTGTGCAATTTCGGGCGTGAGGCATTGCGCCGACCAACTACTTGGAGGCACAGAACTGGCTCCTGACCACTGGACGAATGAACCAAGAAGCTCAGAACAAGCTTGGAGGCGGGCTTGGTTTTAATTGTGTGCTTTCCAACCGGCCAGCTGTCGAGACACGATGCCTTGATATCATGAAGTCCCAGATGCCCTTGTGACATGCTAGACTGACAGATAACAAAGGATGCATGACTAAGTCGTCCAAAGTTTCAGATATGGGTGCCGACCTATTTGAGCTACGTCCGCATGTTTGGGACCAACGTCCTTAGGTGTTGCCGCAACATAATGAGGGTCTCTCGAAGGCTAACTAGGGGCCCCATGGCTGAAATCAACCACAGGCCTGCAAAAAAAGAGTGCGGCCATTGTTGATTGAGAGGATGCAGCCATCCTTGGTGTGGCTAGTTTCACCAACAAAAGCCACACTTTCTTGGGTGAGTGACACTCAAGAGGCAGTTATATTTTTTTTCGCACTTGGTAAGTTGGGATGCCATATTTTGTGATGATGCTACCGTGCTACCTGTGTTTGGAGTGCCTGCGCCAGGAATTTGGTGATGAGCTTTGCTCTACGGATCAGCTGACGTCACCGCCTCGAGCGCTGAGGCTTAGGATCTGCCCTGGATGGCCCGCGCCTTCCATTTTCCGGGATCGAACCTTGTAGGTCACCAGAGTAGCCAGAGGGCCATGCCAAAGGCACCAGTGGCCAACCTCAGCATTTTCAAAGCGACGCCCAAAGATGGTGGCTTGTCGCCGCCTCGTACCAGCTTGTGCATATCAGATCTTAGACTTATTCTAAACCACTGCACCACGGATTGTCTATGTCCCAAGTTATGTGAGTTAAGCCGCCGTAAACGGTGTCATTTCATGCGAGGGAATGTGAGAGCGTCGAGGGCCCGGCCGGGAGTAGAAGTCGCTCTGGCGAAATGAGAGGTTGGACCTCCAAACTCCAGCGTTGAAAGACAAACAAGAATCTACCTGCAGTCTTGCCGAAGAGCATTTTTTTGGGGAACCCCTATTTTTCTGGGATTTTTTTTCAATTTTTTTCTGGGATTTTTTTTCATATTTTTTCCCCTACTACTTTTGCATTTGGCTTTGTTTGCTTTTGCTTTTTGCTTCTGCTTTTGCTCTTGCCCTTTGCTGTTGCTTTTTGCTTTTTGCTTTTGCTTCTGCATCTGCTTTTGCATTTGCTTTTGCTTCTGCTTTTGCTTTTTGCTTCTGCTTTTGCTTCTGCTTTTTGCTTTTTGCATTTGCTTTTGCTTCTGCTTTTTGCTTTTCCTTTTGCGGCTGCTTTGTTTTTTTGCTTTTCCTTCTGCAGTTGCTTTTTGCTTCTGCTTTTGCTTTTTGCTTCTACTTGTGCTTCTGTTTTATGGCGTTCTGCTTTTGCCTTTGCTTCTGTTTTTTTTGGCCAGGGTCTAACGAGCCTGTGTTGCCGCAAGGGGGCAGCTTTCAACACTGCGCTGGTTGCAGTAAAGACCCTGTGCTGCTGCAAGTGGCCAGCTTCC